CTCTCCCTGCCCTCCGGCCTCCCCCGAGTCCGCCCCGCCCCCCTCCCTCCCCGGCGAAGTGGGCCGAGCGCCGAACGATCGATGCTTCCTCCACGCCCCGAAGGCCGCCATCTTGGGGGGAGGAGGCACGCTAGGAGCGGCGGCCGGGGTTCAGCGGGATGCTGACAGGCTTCTGCTTCTCTTGCCAGCGCGGAGGGACCGGGACAGCAGGACCCGCCACGGGCGCTCCTCCGGCGGCCCCTCCGGCATGAGGCCTCAGCTCTCGCGCGGGACCGCCACCCCCGGCCGAGAGTGAGTGACAGCCGGGCGGCGTCCCGCCCCCGCGCGCCCAGCTGTCAGTTACCCCGCGCGCTCCCGCCGCTCCCCGCGCGCTCCCGCCCCTCCCCGCGGGGCTTGGCGCCCGGCGCCCGGCGCAGACTCGCTTGTTTGTTTCTGCAGGAGCGTAAGGAGAGGCCCGAGCCGAGACCATGCCTGGGAAGCTGAAGGTGAAAATCGTGGCCGGGCGCCATTTGCCAGTGATGGACCGAGCTAGTGACCTGACTGATGCCTTCGTGGAGGTTGGTGCAAGGTCCTGCTGCTCAAAACTCAGGGCGCGCCACGCCCTCGAAAGGACCCTACCCATCTCGGCCCCAGCCCCTCAGCCCGTTCCCCTCCCGACAGTGGCGTGTGCCCTGCCCGTCCCGCCCTCCCGGAGGGCTGTCTGCCGAGACTGCAGCCCAGGTGGAGGGTGTGCGGCTCGCAGGCGTCCGCGGCACCGTGCGCCGCGCGGGGTGGCTGTTACTGCTCTGCATGCTGGGGTGACGCCGATGTCAGGGCTCATCACCGGCCACCTGCCAGGCAGGAGGTGCCAGGCGTGGCCGCGGGGCCACCAAGAACCGCGCACGCACGCGCATCCGCGCCCTATTTGGGGGTGGGGTGGGAGGGGGCGTGGAGATGATCAAGAATGGAGGTAACAGTCCGAATAGGCACTCTACGAGGCTAGGAGATCCACTCTTTACCGTAGTCTTTTCCGAATTGTCATTGTAAATTCTAAAACACGTCCTGCTCTTGTCTGGACTGGTAGGTCTGAAAAGCTGTTCTAGGGTAATATAGTGCCTTGGGGTAGGAAGTCAATTAAGTGCTATGGATATTTAAATTGCAAAACTGCCCTTTAAATTTAATGATTGGCTTATAACTCATGCAAATTATCACAGGCCTAGGGCCCCGGAAAGTAATAAGCCAATGTATGAAAGAAGCCAAGTAAAAATTGTAATAAAAATTGACATGATGAACCAGAGAATTAGAACCGTAATCATTTGACCCTATTAATGCAGGGAGTTGATAGATACATGATAATATATAGCTTGATTTTTATCTCTATAAAATATTCTTCTAAAAAATATTTTTATTGATTTCATAGAGGAAGGGAGAGGGAGAGAGAGATAGAAATATCAATGATGAGAGAGTCCTAACCAGTTTGGCTCAGTGGATAGAGCGTCAGCATGCAGACTGGAAGGTCCCAGGTTCATTCTGGTCAAGGGCACATCCCCCAGTAGGGGGCGTACAGGAGGCAGCCGATTAATGATTTTCTCTAACCATTGATGTTTCTGTTCTCCTCTCCATTCCTCTCTGAAACCAATAAAATATATTTTTTAAAAATTGATGAGAGAGACCCTTTGATTTGGTGCCCTCCTTGCCACCTCCCCCCAAT